GAACATGGGCCAGGTCTTCTCATGGCCGTTGAAGCTCAGCTGCTTCAGACGCGGGATCCGGGCCCTCGAGTCCGAAGAGTAGTGCCCGTCGGTCCTGTGGCGTTCGCTTCCGCGCGAGGCTTCTCCCTCCGATGGTGCTGGCCCCAGCAGCCCTTCCGCCCCCTCGGCATATCCTCCCCTGGTTGTGTTCGGCGCTTGATCCGGTGGTGAACCCGCGCCTGGACGGGCGTGCCTTCCCCCCCTTGACTCTCCCCCGCCGCCCGCTGCGGCCACACTACCGGCGGGCGGTGCCTCGGGCACTACTCGAGGCAAGGCATCCATTATCCTCTCCAACTTCTCCTCCATGATTCTCTCCATCCTGCCGCTGATCTCGGCAAGTGCATCCCGGAACTCCTCGCGAGTCGGGGGATCGTCGCCGGCGTCGCTCGATCCTGCAGGTCCTCCTGACTGCATGGTATGCCCACTAGAATCGGAGTAAAGCGGTTACTCTAGAGTGTTTGATTGCCCCAAGCCTAGTGCTGCTGGGATGAGCAAGGCTGCGCCGTTGGTAGGCGTGAAGAGATGTTAAGATGGTAAAGTCGTTGATTAGGTTGCCCTTGTCGTAAGGGGAACAGGAGAGAGAGTGGCAACGGGAGGCGAACTCCCGTGCCGCACACCAGTAGCAAGAAAACGCAGAACTCGGAACACTATGCAACAGGTCAAAGATACAGAATTCTAGACATGTCATAAGATACCCCGAAGATCTATGCCCCTTGCTGCCACTTTAGCTCCATGGTAGAAACCATCATACATGAGTTAACTACAGCAGTAGCGTATTCGTAATGATGAAATAATCAACCTCACGAACAGTGCAATCTTTTTGTTCACCTATTCATTCTTGCCTTCTTCGTGCGATTTCAACAAACGTCGAGTGACAACCGATTAAAATAATCGGTAAAATTAGACCATCCGACTAGTCAACTTACCTTCCCTGTGCGCCCCTCCCGCTCAAAACCAGGGCACCGTGTGATATCTCGTACAATCTGCGCGGTATCGTTTCTCAGTATCACACGCGAGGGAATTTCGCGTCGGTGAACATCTTAGTGGTTGCTCGAGAACATCATTTCATCAAGCTAATGTCGGTAGTTTACATGCCCGCTATGTGAGACCTCAGCAACAACCATCCAGAAAATTACCTGAATTGCGGGTTGTCCTGTTTTACGAAACCCCGCCCGAAGTCAACGTCGCCATGGAGACCTAAGGTGCGAACTCTCAAACAATTACCGCAATATATGATGTTTCCAAAACGCATTCCCGAAGAATCTTTGGGACAATACTCGAACAATTCACGTCTGGCCAGACATAGTCGGTTGTTGGCGTTTGTTGAAGCGCGGGTTTTCTCACGAGCCCGCACTTTGCGTTGGGTGCTTGTTATTTTTTAGAAGTCATCTTTGGAAGTTGATTGAGCTGCCGCTTCTACCTTGTGTCTCATGCTGCCCCCCCGAAGGTGTGCAGTGGACAGAAGCTGTGTGCGCCGGTTGCAGGGAGACTTTCTCTGTGTTGGAACCTTCTGCCGGGAGAGCTGCCGGGTGGTGCTGGGGCGCTTTCCTCGCTTTTCTAGGCGCAGGCGTGACTCTGAAAGAGGTTGATGCAACGGGGTGGAAGATTTGCTTGGGGCTGATGGGGCTATGCTTGATCGGGGCCGGGGCAGCTACGCTGGTTGCCTGTCGGTTTAGAATCCGAACAGCCCGGGAAGAAAATGCGAGACGGACAAGAGGGATTCCCACGCAAGGTGCTCCAGACAATGTGTAGAGTCGATGTTCCTTCCTTGGGGTTTACTGTTACAGGTCCATCCATCGTTTCTGCAACACTGAGTCTGGCACATCTGAGCTTTTGGAGCATACGCGTATGGTTTGTGTTGTTGGTCCGGAGGCGGCGTAAATTCCAGATTTTGTTTGTTGTCGGCCATACTTCACCCCGGCTGGGTGATACAAGGGCAGGCACATTTGAACGCCAGGCAGGCAGAGAAAGAACCCCGTTTTGGTGCGCTCGTAATGTCTCGTAGTCTGTTGGGCTACAGTTTTCGCTGGTCACGTCACTGGCTGAGTGGCGTGATTCGACGACGATGCCCGTTGCGGGCAACGCCCGTCAGCCCGCACTCGCTAACATGATGTGCGATGGGTTTGTTTACGATGCAGGTATGATTGGTTCAGCCCGTACCTTCCTTATGTCGCGCAGTAGACGGCAAATGACGAGAACTCGGCAGCTTAGTTGTGAGTTTCTGTCCCCAAAAGACCATTTTCTTATCATTGAGGAACGACAGGCCACCAGTCTGCACCGCGCACGTTCACTCCTACCTCAAAGTTGTTGTAGGAGTTTTTTGTGCAGTTTTTGTGTAAGAGACAAAAAGCCGTGCCTTAGTTGATGTGAAGGCAAATACTACGCAATGAATGGGCATTTTTACAGATGTGAGGTGAAGCAAAGAAAATATGTCATGGTGCTCGAAGTACTTGATACGTGCCGCTAGGAGATTGCAGCCACGGGCGCACGAAAAAGGCCACTTTGCGTGAACCATCACCGTCGTGGCTGTAAAACCGACATGCATTCACGTGCTGTCCTGCTTGCTACAAATAGTGTGCCATGTCAGAACGTTCATTTCCGAGGGGAAAAGAGGGCTTCAGACCTGGCCGGGGCCAACCCCTGTCTGTTTGGGTACATGCGCCATCTTGAACGCCAAGTATCAAATGGACCCAATTGGAGCACCAGTCTTGACCGAACAATAAACGAGTCCACGTCCGTGGCCGCCGGGAAACCATGCACCGGCGCACCCAGTCCTCTGTTCATAGTTTGTTCCCCAAGTGGGTTCCACAGGTGCTGCTCCTGGGTATCATCTTTGTGCAAAGCTAAGAACACGCATGCAAATCCGGCCAACAACACTACCAGGTAGGTCTTGCGCCTAAAACAAGTTTTGGTACGTTGTAAAGCTGTTCGCGGAGGGCTCCCCCGCGTTCTCTTCCGCCCTTCAGGGTTGTGAAACCAACGGGTAAATACGGACTTTTCCCATACGACGAGAAAAAGCGTAAGTCTAAGTGGTCAACTCATGCCCCAACCGCAAATACGGAGCGTACGTGCTTGCTGCAAATGACGTCGGTGCGTAAATCATTGGTTAGGAAGCGTCCTCCGACGAGGAGCCCTCTCGTTCGCACCTCCGTGCACGTATTTAGTCTTGACACAAAAAACAAAACAGTCATGACCTTAGTTCTGTACACCATCCCGCGTCAGCTGCGGTATTTTCGTCTCGGAATAACCTCGCTCGGTCGCTGCTCTGCCGTCTGGCCGTCCTCTTCCTCCTCTACGAGAGCGGCAAGGTTGATGCACAGCCACTTGGTGCCCGGCTCTCCGTCTTGTCCTTCCCCGATGGGGATGTGCCACGCGTGCTTGTTGAGCACCTGCCGATCCAGAAAAACGTGTAGTCGCGGCGGCGGCAGCTCAAAAGGGTGCAAACACTGTGTTCACGGCTGTTGAGGAGCGTGCACGGACTTGGCGTTCCCATCATCGCCAAGGGACAGATGGTGTCAGCTGCCCTCTCCCCGAATTAAGAAAGGAGGCAGTCCGAACGTTCGAGGTCAAATTGTCGAGTTTTGGCGGGCCGCCAGCCGCCCGCTGCCTCCAAGCAAACGAAGCCTCCCACGCATTTTCTCGCTTCGCCACCCGAAGGCTATCACGTCGCCTTGACGGTTCCAGCCCCGAGCATTCATTTCGACAGCCAGACCCCAACACGGCTGCCTCACTGTTTCCGGTATCCCATTTCGAAACACCTTCCCTCACTACGACCTGATTCTTCCTGCCACGAGAACAAGCCAGCCCGCCTAAGATAAAACATTCAGCCAGCCTGTTAGCTGAAACGCTTGAGTTCGCCGCACCTGCATGTCCCTCGTGAAGGCCGGAGACGGGCAAACGATTGGAAGTGGTGGTGAAGACCCTTGCTCGGGAGGTCTATGTCTCCCTCGTTCCGAAGTATTTTCCCCCTTCTCCTCATCCACACTACTCTTGCTGCTCCCGGTTGATGACGCGCTCGAGCCGCGGGAGCCATCGTTTGGTAAAATCGCCGGGAAGTGGAAACCACGCACCTGCGATTTCCTCCACCTTATCAAACGCGGGATTACGGGGTTGCCAGAGGTGGGGAGCTGGTTTTGTGAGAATGTGCAAGGAGGTGCGGTGGTTTTCTGCCGCGCGTTGACACCGGGCGAGGCTGAACACGGTCAACTCTGCTTGAGAACCACGTTTGGAGGTATCCTATTCATCACCGCATCCGCAAAATCGCGATCACAAGAGGACACGCAGGCCAGGCGCATAGCGAAGGCCCGAACAGGGGTCTCGCGCATTCGTCATGGAGGGCAAGCTAGGAGCCAGCAAGGCGTTGAAAGAAGAAAAAAAAAAACGTCGGGATCATGGAGAACATTTCGAACATTCACTCCAAGAAGAAATATGGTGGCGGGGGTGATTGTGACGAAGACCAGTTTTTGAGAGGCAATACTTCACCAAACACACAACATGCCCTTCGAGGGTTAGGGTTAGAGTCAGGCTGAAAAAAATAAATGGATTCGCTCATGACCAACTACCAACTACAGTAACTCACCGCTTGAACGGAACCGGCTCGAGTAGGGCCATCCTGTGGTTCCTCATCTCGTCATTGCTCACCACGGTCAATCGCCCCGCCAAACCGTCTCCCGAACTACTGACCCCCGTCCTTGTTCTTGCGCGCTCCCCCCCCTGGCCAACGCCCTCCCCGGTGCCGCCTAGCCTCGTCTCGTCATCATCACCACCAGCGAAGCCCCCCCGTGGCGTAGCCTCTTGCCGTCCTACGTATATCCCATCTACACCGTTACTATTGGATGGCTTGTACCCCTGCCGATTTTCGCGTAAGCCGGCGCCTCCATCACCGTTGGTGACCTCTTCCTCGCCTTCGATGGCAGTGGCGTCAGAGCTGACCGTGAAATACATCCAAAAAAGGTCGTCGTCCGTGCCGTTTGCGCAGCTGGACAAGCGACAAAAAGCGGGGGGGGGAGCGGCAATCAACAAGTAATTCAAGTGTTCAACCGCCGCCTAACGAACAGAAGGCAGAGGCAACTAAGAAATGTAGGTTCACAGCCGGACTCAACGCAACACATCACAAACACCGCAAGGACCGCCGGGAGTCGTCAGCGGACTGTTTCCCGCAACAAAAGAGACCAGGGGCGAACCTGTAGAGCATCTGACGCCGCCGCCACCGGTCGATCGTCTCCAAATCTTCGTCGCTCAACGCTGACGAAGGGTTCTGTGGCAGGATGTACGGTTCAACAGACCGGGCCGAAAGGCACAGCGTGAGCTGCGTGCTTTCCAGGAGCGTGCACCACGACGGGCAGGAATGTGTTGAGAACACGGGCTAACACACCATAACAGAGCAACAACAGTCGACAACATAAAGGCGCCCAACCGTTTGTACACCAAATAGACACTGGGCACTGCTCGGAGCTTGTCGCCTCGACCGCGAAACCGTTTCAATTCGCATGGCACGGAAAATGAATGAAAGCCGCACGGTGAAGACGTGATACCCAGCATGGACTCAACGCGTCGAGACAAGGAACAACACCTCCCTCAATAAAAACCAAACTAGAAGCACGTGTTTCGGCCGCTCACGGTCAAGTCGCAAGAACGAACTTCGAAAGAAGCGGACGAGATACCTTGCCCCGTCTTGACCGGGCGGAGTTGGGCACGCACGGCCGCAAGTACCTCTCCGGCAAGATCACCAGCACCCGCTCCCCGTCCCGCTCGAGCTGCCTCGCCATCAGGTCTACCTGCGGACCGCCGCGGGCACAACGGCATTCAACATGAGACGATTTGTTCTCTGTTGCCGATGTGGTCCGCCGTTTTCTTTCGACGAACAACAAGAGAAGGCTTGGTGTCCATATCTGAACTCGTGAACAACGGCAGCTCATTTCATGTAGGTGGTAGGTTCTGGCACAAATCTCGCGTGAAAAAGAGATAACTCGCGGTGGCGAGAGGATTAAAGGACCAAATTCGACCGTCATTTCCTCTGCCATGGAGCTGCCTTAGCCTTCCGACTAGAGTGGAAGGCCAAAAGCGCCCCAAGGTCACTCCTAGCTGTGCGAAGACAGTTCTTGATTTGCGCGTTGTCACGCACCCCGACTGTGCGTGCACGCGACTGATTTCTCCGCGGGCTCACCTGTGAGATCTCGAACTTCCCCCCCTCCTTATTCTGGCCGTAGTAGGCGACGTTGCAGCCGTCCACGACGGTCGTAAAGTGTACGCCCTGCAGCGGTTTGCGAAATAGCGGGGTCGGTAAACCAAACCATATAGAGGAATGTTCTTCACCTGTTGTGGGGTGGGCTCTCGGGCTTTTGACCCATCCGGCATACAGCATTGTGCTCGCTCACAGGACTGCGATCACACAGGGTCTTTGACCGGTGACGTAGCAGAAATGTCGGAGGCGATCGGCGCTGCGAGAACCTGCAAAGTAGATACTCTGTGTCCAATATACGCCCACAAAAAAACGAAACAATGGTAGGGAAACAGAGTAACAGCGTGGCCGCAGACACTGTACTTTCCGGCTGTCACTGAAACATACACTTGGGCGGATTGCAAAAACAATGCCTGCCGAATCGACACATGTCGACACGCTCTCGACAGACAGTCGCGCGGTACCCCCACTCTCAAGTGCCGCGCGGGACCAACTCACTTCTCTTCTTCTCTCCTCCAGCCAGGCGGCAAACCGCTCCAGGTCGCCCATTGCCTCCCCCAGCCCCCGTCGGTCCATTTCCCCCTGACCCTCTCCTGCATACGCGTAGTCAAGCCTAGAGCTCTGCCTCCTCTTGGGCGGCAGCGGTAGCGCCGGTGGCGGTGGCGGCGTGGGATACGCCGTCTCCGACGCAAGCTTCACCAAGGCCGAGCGGACGCGCGCGCGCGCCTCGGGGTCTAGCCCTACCACCTTGAGAGCGGCCCCGCAGCAGTCGCACACGCCCCCCGAGGCGAGGGACGCCGAGGAGACGCTGGCGACCCGGGGGGGTGATGAAAAATACGTCTGGACGTCGCTCTCGCTGGAGACGAAGTTGGAGTCGGCGTTGAACGCGGAGAGAAGGGTCTGGAGGTGGTGGTCACCGCTACCCGCGCTGCTGCCAGACACATGATCGTCTTTTCTCGGTCATGATCACCACCCCGGCGGAGAGGCAAAGGGGAGACAGAGAGTACCCGCAGGCGTGAGGTTAGGCGAGACGCGGAAGAGGTGAAATAGAATCAACCCTCGATGCAGCCGAGGTAAAGACAAAAAAAAGCGCGTTAGCCGGGTACCTGCGACCTTGGCCAAAGGACATTGCGACTGGCAGCTTGGATGTTAGCACAGAGGTTAGCACAGAGGTTGGCTGGCTAGACCCCAGACATTTGCGGGGACAATCCGTACTGTCGTAAGCGTTCCAAGCAAAGGCTGTTGGCCCCCGCTGGTTGTACATATGAGCTCTGTAACACCCTTTCATATGCACAAGATGATCGAACTTACAGGCGGGTGCGTTGAAACGAACGAACACTCCTGGCGTTCAACCAAACAAACGTACGGCTTTTCAAACACCCTTGCAGTGATGATTGAGGGTTACTATAGCTGTCGGTGGAGCGGTCGTCCTTGCATACGATCATACCAACTCGAAACGCCCGCATCTTCTTCTCTTTCTCCCGCTTCAGAAAACTCACCGCAAGATGCGGCTGCACCAGCATCACGGCAAGGTATGAGCTCGAAATCCATACCGGCCAGCTGTTGCAAGCACCGCTCTACCGACCCATCCGCCACTCGCGGCCGGAGCTCCCCAGCCGCCGCCCAACCTTTGATCATGTCTATATGCTCTTCTGGTGTAGGCTGCACGCCATGCGCCGTCATGTGCGACCAGACTTCTGAGGCCAACGTCATGTCCGGCTAAGAAAACGAACACAGGAACAGGATGAGGAACAGGGAGATAAGGCTAAACACAAGTGCGGTTCACTGACATTCGGTCATTGTTCAAGTGGAGTACAACATTGGTGATAAAAGTTGGTGGCTAAAGGTGTCATGCGAACGCCAAAATACGCCAATGGCGCCGTTCATCCACGTCCTTGGGTGATGACAACAAAGATCACAAAGTGCAGAACAGAAAAACTGTTTAGCCTTCCTGTTTGACCCCGCTTGTGATTCCACAAATATCGAAATGTGCATCTTGAAGCCCAGAAGAGATGGATGGTAACACACACACTTGTAGAAGCGTTGTGTTTTCAACCGAACTGAGACTGACGTATTGTCATTGGTCAGCCGGATAGAGCGGTCGATGCAAATAAACACACACACGCACAACTGCTCCTGGACTGATGTTGGGGATTCACACCGTGCGGCGAAAAAAATACAACGGCCGGAGAGCCCAACACCAGTTGCAACAGACCTTGTGGCACAGCCCCTTGAGAAGAGGCGAGTACGTCCTCAAACGGGGCCTTACGCCCCCGTCGACCATCTCTCGGACCTGCGAAAACGCCTCCTCGAAGGCACCCCTCGACGCGGCCTCTCTGAGGAGGAAGGCGTAATGGTTCTCGCGAGGCTTTATCCCGGCCTCCACCATGTCCGATAGAACGCGCACGCCATTAGAGACCTGTAGGAAGGCAGGCGTGTGAAGTGAGGGTGTCGTCGAGCTGGAGGTGCTTTGGAATCCATGCTTGTGTTGCTGCAAAACGCGGCGTGCGGTGCGGCAGGCGTCGATGGTATGTACTATTTCCCCACAAAAGCAAGTGGGTGTACAGCAATGTTGGAAAGCAATGGTTGCCCGTCGTGGCCATGGGGAACGTCCGTCGCCATTGCCGCGGGATGCCCACATAAGGCAGCGCAGTTGTAATAAACACCTCGGGCAAGAGAGTAAGTACCACAGGTGACGTAAAATACCACACCCCCTTGGCCGGTTTTCAAAGCTCGAGTGCTCCACACCAGTATAGTGGCGGTGGTGCTGAGAAAAGCGGCGTTGAAACCGTCTCATTGGGGATTTTCCGAACACGCATAATGGGGACACGACATCCTCTTCGAAGGTGTACATGTGTACACACGTCGAGCTTTTCAAAATCGGCCCAGCGGGTGTGATATCTCATGTCACCAATGGCGCACAAACCTACTGCAGCCGTAGTTCGATTGATTTATCTTCTCTCTTGCAATTCTGCCGCTGCAACCATCCAGCACCATCGTACACAGCTACATAGAACACCACGATCGAACCAGAGACCGATAGCCTACGACCTCGCCTTTTCTCCCTCACACACGCTAAGGACGGCGTTGAAGACTGTCTCGGAGATCATGCACCCAACCTCTGCCGCTTTCCCGTAGAGCAGCAACGCCCTGTCCGCGTCGCCGGCCTTGACGGAATTCACCACCATTGTCGAGAAGGCTTTCTGCCTCTTTCTTGGCGATTGTGGCAGGTCTAGCACCAGCTGCTGCTGCGAGAGAGGAGCGGAGGGTTCGCTGCGCTGAGCGAGCGCAGCCGGTGACATGATGTTGTTGGTGCTGTTGACGTTGCTGACGCCCGCTTCTTCTGCGCACCCTGACGCACTCGTCTGTCGAGACGACTGTAGCAGCACTCTGCTGTCCAAAGCCCACGCTCGTCCCGAGGGGTCGCTATCGCCGCCGATGACGCTCGACGGCAGTCCTCTGCGCGACGGGGGATGCTGCGGCTGCTGTCCGAAACGCTGCTGCGGGAGGGCGACGAACGCAGCAGAGATGCAAACCGACGAGCACGGAAGACTCGCCGCACCCAGTGCAACAACAGCTATCCCACGACGATGTCTACTGCAGCAGCGGACGGTTCGCTTCTTCCTGCTTCTAGGCCGTCGCATTTCGCATCTATCGCAGATATGTCGCTATCATCCAGCAACCCAGCAGCAGTGTCGATACCGCATGGGGCAGGGAATGATGATGCATGTGCTGAGTAGAGGCTGGGGCCCCGTGAAATGGAAACAGGTTTGCCGATATATGGAGGCGGTTGTTAAGAATGACAAATGCGCGTCAATCATGCACAATGCACATACCAGTATGCACCAATCCGGTTCGACTTCAAATTTCGCACAATAAATTTAGACTGTTCTCCATTTCGTATTCTCACATGTTGCGGCACATATCACAAATGTGCACTTGTAGATCTACTATTTACGCTGGAAAGTGAAAAAAATAATGAAAGTGATGGGGCCGCGTGCAGACCTCCTCTGAGCACAGACAGTTTTTTCTGGACAATATTTTGCGCACCGACGCCACGAAGACCAACCTTCGGTTTGGGTTGGTCTTTCGTACAAAGTAGGAATTGTCATGCTGCTCGGGGCTGTCAAGAGCGTAGCACATCACGCCATTTTTTTTCACGTGCTTAAAGGGACACTCGTTGTGCGCCTGTACCACATGAAAGTCCACCACCGGTCGACACCTGTCGTGCCCTGAGTCGTTGCAGTTGTCGGCTACAACAACCGCGGCTTGGAAGGCTACGTCGGTCGTTTCTTTGTGTAGGTCTCAATCTTACATCGCAGCACGAGGTGCACCAAGACTTGTACGTTCAAGATGAATCAAGTCTAATTTCCTGGCCCAGGTGCTGCTGCACGGGGGTGATCCAAACGGAACGGGTGAAATGTAGCATGTGTTCGTGCGAACTTTCGTTCAATCGTCCGGCAAGGGGAGCCAGGTGTTGCAGTTGACAAAACATTTCCAACCTCTGTACCCAAAGGGTACGGCCCGCGTGAGTTATGCCCTCGGCGACACAACACGACAACGGCGGCCTTTGAGTCAACATCGCGTCCAAAAAGAAGAGAAGAACGCTGTACTTTCCGAAAACCGTGCCGTTCTTGCACGCGGTTACAAACTCGTCCATCGACATTGCACGCCGAACCCCCCATACCGAATACGCAGACGAAAGTATGGTGGCTTTCAAGTGTGCAAAGCATGCAAACACAACCACAAGTGTGCGTAGTAGTAGAATTGACGAAAAGGCAACACACATACATACGGCTAGCCGCGCACTGCGATCCTGCGGCCCGCAACTATTTCAAGATGAGTGCCATCACACTGCTCTATTTCCCGTGGAAAGTGCATTCTCCAACGGCGCTACGTGTCTGGGTGCGTGTGGCGCTTGCGTGCGCGGCCTTTGCTTCCCAAGCGAATTAGAAGTCCGTCTTGAGAGAAGCGGGGCAGCCGCGGAGGGAGTGGTACGCCTTCAGGCGGGTGGAGTTGATGCGGATGAAGCCCTGAATTGTCGGAGGGGGGGGGGGGGGGGGGGGGGGAATTAAGTTGCCGGTTGGTTGTAGCTCTTCCCAAATATCGAGGGTTACACTATGTGATTTGGGCTGGG